ATCCTGAACTTTGTGTCTGTAATTGTCGAGTTGAAAATAATTCTCAAACGCAAAGTCCCGAAAATCTCACATCTTTCACCGATCGAATATCGTTTACATATCAGTGTTCACTATCACTTAAATCGCAATTCAAGAAAAGGACTTGTCGAAGATGGCGTCTCAAAAAGAACGAACTTGCAAAGATAGCGGTCGTAAAAAGAACGAACGAAACGCGCGAGGTAAAACGAAACGACAAAACAGCAACGGAGTTCAAAGGGAACATTCGAACATTCTTCAAACTTTCAAAGAATAAAACATCCAGTCCAATATCTAGCAGACATCAAACGAGCACGAAGACGAGCCAAGACCGAGGAAGAAAGAAAGAAAGAAAGAAAGAAAGAAAGAAAGAAAGAAGGGAAGAAAATGCGCGAGCCTCGGTGAATATAATACTGGCTGAAAAATTTCGTGTGACATCATAATTATTTCGTACGTAGTCCGGGTCCTGCGTCAATGTTTATCGACAGTGGCCAGCCCAATGGGGAGGGGACTCGAAGCATTTAGAGAGATCTATATTTGATCACTTTCGACGTCAACTCTGTGCCATCTCGTCCGGCTAATGCGTCCCTCGTCAAACATCTCCTACGCGTCCTACATCGGGAGTGTTCGAGAGCAGCAAGTGCCGTTTGCTCTCACTCCGATTACATCGAGAGATGACCCTTCGTGTGCACCTTCTTCGAACCATCCGCTCGTCGTTTTCAAATAAATTGATATGGCCGCTTGAATCTTGTTCAAACGAAACGTTATATCTATCCCCTTTTTGCGTGGACAATCGTAGATGCGGATATTTCCGATTAATTCTTTGCACAAACTTGACTCTTGGGACGAGTGATATAGATATTTGCTGACTGAATAATAATATCGTGTCCTGTTAAATTAAAGGGTTGTGTCGTTTAAATTAATTCCTCGCGTAAACATGAGTCTCGAGATAAGTTGACAAAATGAATGGAAATAGAATACGGAAATAAAAATCCGCGTGAGATGATCTAGTCTACTAGTTGAATTTTCGTATCGTTTTCCATTGAGTGTTAATATCTTGCAAAGATTTGTTTTCTTCAGGATAACTGAACGCGAGTCGAAATTGAGAAAATTGAATAATAATTCCATGTAACGAAGACTCTGTAAAGCGTTAAAATATTAATAAAAACAATCATATTATAAAATACGCGTGCAAATTAAAAATGGTACATCCATGGATGTTAAAACTATTGTAAAATTTTCAAAAGAGAGTGTAGGTGTCTTCGATTGAATATTAATATCGCTTGCCATCAAATAACAGGGTTCGTACTATTTAAAAGGAGGTTTCGATTGTAAAGAACTGCTTGGAATATCCTATCCATTACCGTATTAAGTGATTCGAGTGGCGGGAAAACCGGGGGGGGAAGGGGACTTCGTAATTTCGTGAGTGAGCCTTGAAACGGTGCCAGCTTGTACCTGCTCCTCTTCACCCTCGAGTGGTGAACAAGCGTGGAATCGTCGCGAGCGGACTAACTTCAGGCAAGAATTACTTAATTACCGGTCTCTTGTTATCTCGCTGTATCTGTTAATCTGAAAGTTATCCGAAATGTCTCAGCGAATCAAAATCAAATCAAAAATCACCTCGTGCATCGTCCGAGTGTCGGTTTATTCTAATTCGATCGACGAGTAGGAGAAAGCGATTTCTTTCGAACACGGATTTGGGTAACCTTGATCTAAATTTGCTTTTTACCGTGATCCACGGATCCAAGAGGATCCAAGACAGAGAAACAGTGTGGCCAGGGATCGGAACAAGTGCAAGAAGCAGAGTGGGCCGGCCACTTGTGACGTCTGCCGCAGTCGAGCACCACTTATGCTACTAAAATTACATTCGATCACGTTATCTGCGCTCGGGTTAACTTAAAAAACCCTTGAAAAGCTTGCCTGTTACAAGGATACCGGAGACCTAAATGATCTCTTAAGCCCCGCATCTCGTGGCAGACACACGATCACCCAGAAGGGAGGAAGCGGCCTCGAGACTTCCACTCTAAGTGGAGCCCCCGGGGCTCTATCCTACCCTCTTCCAGTTCATTCGGGGCTCTATCTGGTTATCACCATCGACAGACCGAGGCCGAGATTGCAAGCCTCGTAATTTCACCTCTAGTTAACCCATCGTCAAGAGGACCAAGAGGAAATCGCACGTAGAAAATCGAAAGCTTTTGTTTCGTCGATGTTCCACGAGAAAATTACGTAAAAGTCGGTTTGATCATCTTTGAAAGTCTTTACTAACGTTTGACCTTTTCGATCATCGAGCTCGTACGTCACAAGATCATGCATTCCTTGCTTCGATATACTAGAACTGCACTGGAATTAGCAATTCGTAATTTTTCAGAAATTTTGGATAAACATAAGGAATTGTCTATTCCTTGATATAATTGAATTTCTCTGATAAAAATTTATGGAGATAATTTGTCCAGGAGAGACATTTTTTTCAAACTTTTACACTGCTTGCGACTGATTTTGGTTAAAAATCTTTTTCCCCAGCGCACTGCTATTTTTGACGATTAATAATTCAACGATGGAATAGTATCGTCGCAACAAACAACACTCACCCAAGTATTTGTTCTTGCTCATATCCAACGCCTCGTCTTGCTGCCTCTGCGAGGAATCCCTCGAGTCCTTCACCGGTTGATAACCACCCATGTTGCTCAAGTTTTCGAGATGCTTGAACGTTCCTCCCTGTGCCAAGTGCGGAATAGTCCCAAAGTTGGAAATATTCGCGTGGACCAGATTCCTCGTCAGTATGTCTAGCTCGCGAGCCACGTTGAGATCCGGCGATGGTAGCCTGGAGAATCTGGCCATCTGATTGCGATCCTCCAACTGACCTTCCCTGTGGTCGTTCTCCAAACACTCGTAGTCGCGTTGCTGAGGTCTTTTCGCGTACGACGCTACGCTTTGCGTTTCCTCCGACTCGGAGGGTCGTCGCTCCGTGCAAGAGGTTCTTCTGCTGAGGATGTCGGCGATGCTGAAGGGAGTCAACTGAGACGGTCTCGGGGAAGCTTCGCTTCGTTTGTCGTCATCCACGACATCCGACATCTCTTCTGCTTCCTTATGCCGAAACACGATTTTACAGGAATTGTTCTGTCAAAAACGAAGTCTCTCTCTCTCTCTCTCTCTC